TGCTTCTCTCATCCACCGGTCGAGTCGACTTTTCCTGCAATCTTCTTCGTACATTGGTCATGCAACGGTTTACTTTTGTATTCAGTGAGACGCTTTTAAGTGCTTTTCTCGATATCCATCGGCTGACTCATTGGCACTCATAACCCCTACTTTCCAGACGTCAGTAAACACCTTCTTTCTGGTTGTTCTGACGTACTCGTTCAACGATCTTCCTTACCTCTTCCACAACTTACTTCGCCTGCTTCCTTCCACAACAATCCTCGCCCTCCGTTTCTCTGCACTACGTAAAGCTGATCGATGTCACTCGATGGATGTAGAGCTTGATTTGCTGTCATAATTTTCCATGTTTTGCAGTCCAGTGTATCCAGCTTCACTTGTGTCCAGTCAGCGATTCCAGCGCAGTACCGAATGACTGCAATGGCCTCTGCACTACTAGATTTCATCGTGTTTCCACCAATCAATGATGAGTTCAGAATTTTGCGAAGTCTTCTGATATATTCTGCGTTGGTTTTCTTCATGACGACCGCATGAGGAATTTCGTAAGTTTGCAAGATGCTCAGATGCTTACAGTCCTCTTGTTTATCGAGACTCTTGACTAATCTTCCATCTTTGAGTTTAATGTCATTCGGTTCTGCAATTCTTTCTCTTTTAATTGTTGGTCTTGCACGCTTCTCGATTTCGAAGTCTATCGCATCGCCCTGGCTAAGTATCCAACGATTCTGTTTCATCTTCGGACTTTCCAAACAGCTTCAAATTGTACAGTACATGGGAGACTCTTTTTGATTTTTCCGCGACTTCGTAACGACAGGTTGTTTCATTCAGCACCATCGACAGTGGTATGATGGAAATGACAAACCGTAACAACGACAGGATAACTCTTATGGAATATGCGTCACCAAATGTTCACCTTTTCCAGTCCCGTTCAATCATTGGTCAGCGCTGTATTTCATTTCTTCACTGTCTCTGCCCATAAATTTTCTAATATTTCAGCTAACCCCAAAACTTTTCCAGCGATTTCTTTATCCATCTTTGTGGCAAAGCATCGTAAGCCTTCTCATAATCATTCCAAATGACGTAGAGGTGTGTTTTCCTTCTCCTACAGTTCTTCAGAATCATTTCGTAGATGAATGATTTATCCTTTGTTCCACCAGAGTTCCGACAATTTCATTTTTTTCCTTGGACAAGATATCTTCTGCGATTGTATTTTGCTGCATGGCATCAGTCTGACGCGTCTGCTTCTGCGATCGGAAACGATAAGCGGTCATCGAAACTGACCGACTAGCTGATATTCATGCAAGTGCTGCTTTGTAGTTCGAAAAACTCCCCACTTGCATGACTCCTGTCCATTGCAATCGGTCATATTTCATTCAAAGCAGCACTATGTTCACTGCTTTTTTAAAAGACAGCAGGATATCACGAAGCTAGGGGGCTAAAGCAAAATACTGTAATTTGAATTCGGCTAAATGATATGCCTACTTCTTCCTTAATTTAGGGCGAATTTCAACAATTCGATGAATTTTAACATGGGTGACTAATTCCTATGGGCAGCACCTATCCCTGATACCCGGTGCCAGCTGTGCCTACTTGGAATTGCCTACACGGCAGACTTCGAGCAGCAGGCCATCACGCAGCGTAGAGAGGCAAGTTCGTGGCAGATCCGTTTTCGGAGAGTAATATTTGCTTCTACGATGCAGTAACTGGTGCCTTATAGAAAAAGCATTGAAAACCCGCTCAGAAGGAAAGATCAGCGGTATGCTGATTGCCATGCTTTGTGCGAAACGTTCAAGCTTATGCAATCGACAAAATCATCGCCTCTCTCGTCAAACAAATCAAAGAGTCTCAGTTTGCCTGTTTAGCTAGGCAAGGATGCACGAGTAAGACATCTTCCTCACAATTAGTGTTCATTAATACTAAACGATTAAAGTCAGGACGATTGCAACGGTTTCAACAGTGAGGAAATAACAAAGTCTAATGAGTGCGACTGAGCAAACGCGTTCAATCATCGAAATCATTACCGAGATCGAAAGATGGCTCTGGCAAAATTTCGATCGCTTACCATAAAATAATCAATATTACTTATTTTTCCAGTTGAACGTGACAATCTCTGAAAAACCGCGTTCGTATCTGTATGCCCCCCATCCGTCTGAATTGCCAACAATCTATCATTTCTACACGCAAAAAGTGTGCTTTTCCGAAAATGCCTGGTGACACACTTAAACAATGCGTTCTTCACGCCAT